TTTTTTTTTTTTTTTTTTTTTAGCAAAACATTTATTGGTACATTTTAGACATACATAATGATAACACTCATCATAGGGAATTTGCACCTGTACATGATATATCCTGCCTCTTATTTTCCCACTCCCCCTCATAGTCCCCCTATATACAAAGTTTTGTTTCCATTTTTCCTTCTATTTTTTTACATTTTTTGTCTCTTCCTTTCTCCCCCTGCCCTTGTTCCCCTTTCCATTTGAACTTTTTCTTCCCGTTTCCCAATATCTGTAATACATTTTAGTCCTTATTTCCACTTTTAGTTTCTCACCAGAGAAACAATACAGTATTTAAATATTTGTGTCCAATTTATTTCACTTGAGCATGGTCTCAAGGTGCATCCATTTAGCTAGAAATGTCTGAAGCCTATCCTTCTTTATGAATGCTGCCTACATGTTTAAAATAAAATTTAGGCATTATCTTTTGAATTTTTATTACGTACTTTAAAAAAATATGGTAGTGGTTCTGGAGCTCAAACTCAGGACTTTACATATACTAAGCACGCACTATTCCTTGGAGCTGTGTTGCCGGCCCTTAATACACATTCTTTTTCCCCCTCTTGCCCAGGGCCTCAAATTGAGCTACATCTGTAATCTTGGGCAGATCTAGAATCTCTAGGCCTGAGTTAGTGCATATACATTATAAAGGGGTTAGGATAGAATCCATAGACGTCAGCGGAGTTGGTACTTAGCTCACCTGTGGGTATTAGAAAGTGTTATGTACAAGCACCATTTTAAGGCTCTGGAGGCTCAAATTGAGTTTTCCTGTACAGCAGGGGCACTAAAAATGGTAACCAGTGCTTGTCCGAAAGACTTTTTATCAGTCTATGGATGACAAGTCAAAAATCAAGAGCAGCAAATATTTAGTGACATTCATAGTAGTTTGACTCAGCGCATTTCCTGGGTATGCAAATGAGAATTAGTTGCAGACATGTTGGGTCAAACAAATGAAAACACTGGTCCCCCACAGTGTGTAGATCAAGGACCACTGGTGGCAGCACTGACAGAGGTAACAAGGGACAGAGAGTCAGGGCCTTAGGTGAGCAAGGAAAGGAAAAGAGAACAATAGAGCAGCCCCCTTGCCATTGTCACCAGCATGACATGTGTCCTCTGACAGTCCTCAGCTGTGTTTATAAGGGGAGATCTGTTCACGATGATGCTGGTGCCTACTCTATTTTTTTTTAAGGTCTTTGAGGTTTTTGGTTTTTTGTTTAGGTAGGAACTTATTTATTTCAATAGCAAAACATTCATTGTGGTACCTACTCATTACTAGACTTATTAGGTTCTCACAGAGGGATGAGTTATTTATGCCTTGCATGGGGCTGTTTCCCTGAATTTTAGAACAGTGGCTTTGAGGTTTTATCAAGACTGTATGATGAACTGCTACCTTAGACCATGGAGTCAGACTCTCCCAGTATTAACCCTGGATACACATGTTACGTTAGAAGATTGATCTGATTTTTGAAGCTATGACCACGGGCGACAGCTGTTTGTGGATATTTTGTGAAGATATGTTCTAAACTTGTCTTGGTGGGGTGAGTTGGGGAGCACTTAGCCACCTGATATTCTACAAAAACATTTGGAGCTCCTAGATAGTCACTGAACTATACATGCTAAATTAATGATTGGATGATGGTCTAGAACAGTGGCTGTCAAACTTAAAAGTGTTGGTCAGTCACGTACAGACTGCTGGGCCTCCACCCTGAGTGGAGCTTCTGAATTCACATCTCTAACAAGTCCCCCCCAATCCTTATGATCCCAGTGCCACCCTGTGTATACCAGTGCCTTTCATTTGAAGCTAAAACTCAGTTAAAATTATTAATTTTTATGAATTCTTTACTTTGAAGCAGCTGTTGAGATAATGCTTTAGAGAGTTGCATAGGTCAGAGGAAAACATTTGCATTCAAACAAATTACAGATTCTGACTGGTTGTGAAGGGCATAGCTGGAGCCTGTGAGCAGCAGTGAAAGAAAGAGGAACACAGAAATGGGGCTGGCCACATGCGTGCAGCTTGATGGTGTTCACTCCTCACTTGTGACTGAGCCTGTGTCCCAGAACCTCATGTAGCAAGCTCTCTTAAGTGGGCGGTCAACAGAAGATCCTGACCCAGGTTTCCACCTTGGTGCTACTTGGATTTTCTGTTTCAAGTGTTTCGGGCTCTATATAGCTGGTGCCTTTTCATCATTGGGTCTCAGCTCAGGTTTTCTTCCCTGGGCCTCTACTGCAAAGCCTCAGAACTTACCGCGTCTTGCTTCTTGTTTGCTTATTTGTCTGTCCAAGGAAAGCAAACTCCTTGAAGGTGGACCCTTCGACAGTATTTACCATCTGTTCTACTGCCTGCATAGGGTAGGGCTGGAGTAAAATCTGTGCAGGAATACGTGACTGGAGTTAGTCACAGACCTTATTGGAGTGGTCGTGAGTTATGGGTCCTTTAAACATTTCAGTTTAATGTTGATGCTCTTTTTCACCTTGCCTCCTCTCACAGCATGTTATGGAAAGCAACCATTGCACTCACTAGAGGAGTATCGGTTCAGTATCGCTACTACAAAGGGTACTTTTTAGAACCAAAGGTATGTTTTCTTTATCTAGTTCCAGTTTTTTTACCACTTCTTTCAAAAGCAACTAAGTTTCAAAACATTAAAAGTACAATGAATATTTTGGTCAAATAAGGAATAGAACTCAGTAACATTTTAGTACTGAAAATCAAGTAAATAGCCATTTAAGAGCAAATGTCGCCATGGAATTTTTAAAAGACTAATAGTAAGTATGTTCAGCTACAGTTTTATGAGATTGGTTTTGATGACAAATGTTCTTTATAGGTGTGCGTTTTCTGTGACCTTTCTTTGTAAACTGGTTAGTAACTACTTGCAAATGCTTTTCTTTTTGTATTTAATCCTACATATAAGTTAGAAAAGTCTGTAGGCAACTTTTAAGTGGTTGTTTTAAAAATTATTTTGCAATAGCCATGTCCTAGTGGCTGCATTGTTTCAAGTCATAGCAAATTAGAAGTGATTTTTCTTAGCATTTTCCAGATGCTAGTATTAATTAGCCAGGATCTTTTCTGAAGGCCTTTAGAATAGCAATTAATTCTTAATCTGCCTTTTCACAATGCTTTATTATTTGGGTTTTTTTTTTCATATTTAGAAAGTGGAAAAGTTGATTCTTTTTCTGTTAGTCTGCAAATACTTATTTGCTGAAAGGATTCTTTTCCTTCAGATTTTTACCTTTGGTACATGTGGGCTGCATGCAAACAAGATTTAGGACAGAAATATAGGAAACAAAACATGAACTGGACCTTTTAAAAATAGCTATTTTCCTTGGAGGTCTTTGAATGCTATTGCTAAATGTGAAAAATACAAGCAGTCACTGTTACCTCATTCTTTTAGCCACCATTATCAAAAAGAAAGAAAACTGACAAACCTACCTCAACTGTCTTTTGCACCTATTACATTTTTATTCCAAGAATATTTTGTAAATATTCAGTAAATAAACTGAAATTATTTTATGCTTGATCATTGTGTTGGCTTATTTTGACAATTGCCTTACTTTAATAACTTAAATGAGTATCTGTTTATTTGACATAGAGGTTATGTGTTGTGGCCAAGTTCTTCAGTATACATTGAACAGTTATGTAGAGATAACATAGTTTGAGAATCCTGATAATACGACATTTGGCTTTGTAATGCAAAATCAATTGAAGTTTACTTGGAAAGGGGAATTTGGACAAGAAAAATCATGAGTCCTTTGGGCATTGTTTTCTAAAGTAAGACTATGGTCCACACAGGTCAAATTAAGCCAACCTATAGTATTTCCTCTTCATTGAAAATGTAATCAAAAGTAGCAAATCAGTCCAAAAAATGCCTTTTTTGGAAAAATTGGCAAGAAGTCTGCTTAACAGTGAAACAACAAGTTTTCCCCTTGTAATACCTGCAAAAGTTCACAGTATATGTTGGTGAGTGTGTTTCTTTAAGTAGGTGCTTGCTCTGTATCGTGTACACATGTACCGTGTGATGCAGGGGCTGCTATGGTAAGTATGTTTTTCATGGAATAGAGTGAATAACTACATAAAATCCCATGCATATGGATTTTATTCTACACACCAGCTTAACATGATCCTTTTCATTTAAAAGTTGGCAGCACTTTTTAAGTGAAACTTTTTTTATTAGAACTATCAAAACTCTTCAGTTGTGCATTGTCAAATGATAGAAATGATGTATAAAGACTTACTCGTGAAATGATGTAAATGAATGCAGTACATATTTTATAAAGATAAATAATAATAGGAAAACAAAGCAGTGATGAAAGCATTAAAAATCTGAAACTAAAGAAAAGATTAATTTTATTGGGTCAGAAAAATTTTAGAATATAGATAGTTGAAGCACCTAAAGTAAAAGTCTTAAGATTTGGACAAGTCAATTGACCTTCAACTATAGCTTCTTCCTCTATAAAATGAAGGGCTTGAGGGCCGGGGACGTAGCTCAGTGGCACCAAGTCTGCTTCTCAAGTGCAAGGTCCTGAGTTTTTGATCCCCGGTACCAAAAGACAAAAATAAATGAAGGGCTTGAACTATACATTTGTAGGGTCCTTTCATTACTGAAATTTTATTGTGACAAAAATTGACCATTCATATTTTCTCTCCCATACTTTGCTTCTTTTGGCATATTCCTTTCAGTTTAGAAGTTGAGTACTGAAATCCTTTCTCTCAGTTTTGTTCACGGCTGTATATTTTCTCTTACACTTTATGAAATTAGAATAAAGTATTAATGTTTTTAATTTTAAGATAATTTTGGAAGTACTAAGACAAACTATTATTTTAATTAAACATAGGGAACTTGATATTCCTAGAATGAGAACATTGGTATGAGTCCACATATAGTCCATTAATTTCATATCTTCATCAGTTTTTTTAATTAACATTCATTGTTACATCTTATTAAAATCCATGTCTCTCCCTTAACCCCCTTTTCTTGTGACTGGATTTAGGGATGTTTACTTGTAGTGAAAACTTAGCCAATTTTTAATTTCATCCTTTCAAAGTTTTCTTTATTGTAGTGAAATTGGGTCTGTTTTTCAATAACATGTCTCTAACATAACATTTACTCATCAGATTCACTGCACATTCTTGTTTTGAATTAATTTCATTTGATCTTTAAATTGTTTAGCAAAGGATTAGTTATCTCTGACAGGCAGATAGTTGTTTATTTTCAGAATAGCTACACTTGGCATTTTGAAGAATGATTTCTTTTTTTTGGTACTAGGGTTGAACTTGACCTTGCCGCTTCCTATACAGGTGTGGCACCAAATCCCTGGCTCTGAAAAATGATTTAATAAAGTTCTTGTGGATACTAAATACTCAGTTGTTAACTTGAGATTTGAACCTTCTCAGAGATGTCTGTTGACTTCGCTTCCTTTGTTTCACTCGTGCTTAGGTGACCATTTTTCTATTTGCTCTTAGTAAAAACTGATTTTGTTTTTTGCACCTGGGACTGAACTCAGGACCTGGTGCTTGCGAGGTAGGCGGTAGGTGGCACCACTGAGCTAAATCCCCTGTAAAAAACTGATTTTTTTTTTTTTAGGTTTTTTGAGAAAAGGTCTTACTATTAATTCAGGTTGGCCTTGAACTCACCATGTAGCCCAAGCTGGCCTCGAATTTGCAGCGATCCTCCTGTCTCAGCCCCTCGAGTGCTGGGATTAACAGGCACATGCCACCACCACCCCTGATTTTTTATTTTATTTTATTTTATTATTATTATTATTTTTTTGGTGCCAGGGATTGAACTCAGGCCCTTGCACTTGCGAGGCAGGCAGCGGAACCACTGAGCTAAATCCCTAGCCCAAAAACTGATTTTTAAATAACACTTGAGTTGGTTTCTGTAGATAAAACAGCTCAGCCCCCTTTTATATGTGGATTGTTTTCAAAATTGTGGAAAGAAAATTTCAATTAAAAATTTTTCAAAGTTCATATCTGAAAGCAGTAATACTGTATGATTGTCTAAATTTTGCTTGCTGGTTACTTAAAAAGAAACAAACAAAACCCCAGTCTACATGTTAGATAATCTTTTCCTTCTTTCGGTGATTGATATAGTCAGTTGATGTCACTTTTTTTTGTTTTGTTTTTTGAGACAGGGTCTCACTGTGTAGTTGAGATTGACCTGGAACTCACTATGTGTAGTGTAGGCTGTTCTCAACTCACAGTGATCCTCCTGCCTCAGCCTCCCAAGTGCTGGGATTACAGGCGTGCTATGTCATGTTTAAGAAAACAATATAATCAAAACTTTTTTGTAGAAGCAATTTGATCTTTTTAAGTTTTTGCTAAGCATTTCTACAATCATCTGAAAGAATTTCATTGTGAAAGAACTCTTATCAGTAATGTTAATGGAATATTGCCTTGGAGTGATCTTTTTCCCTCAGAATCCATCTTCTGCACTTTAAAAGCTTAAAACTGTTGCAGCCTTTTGTGTAATAACATAAAAGATATTGAACCAATTATTACAGCCAACATGTTAGAAAAGATTGCGTGCTTTGGAGTCAAAACTGATTTTGTCAGGTGTGGTGGCACACACTTGTAATCCCAGCACTCAGGAGGTTGAGGCAGGAGGGTTTGCCACAAGTTTGAGGCTAGCCTGGACTACATAGTGAGACCCCGTCTCAAAAGCAAACAAACGAAATTGAGATTTTGTATTTGAATTTCCCAATATTTATGCTGTTGTTGTTAAGTAACTTTAGTAAGGCTAAAAAAATTTCTTTCCCCTGGTACTGGGGATTGAACTCGGACCTTGTTCTTTTTTTTTTTTAAATCACCATGTACCAATCAACATAGATTTCTAGTGTGAGTGTAATGGACAGTTACTTCATTTGTTGAACTGTCACTTTGTACACTTTGTCCTCAAATAATCTATTCAAATCTAGGCAATTTTATGCTGTGAGTTGTGGGTTCGTTACCAAAATAGATGAGAGTGGAGATGTTAAAAATATGAAATTTGTTTTCTATCAAATCTTTAATCCACAGGACTATGATTAAATGGACATGATTAAATAAGGTATCATGGTCAACATCATGTGAGATTCCTGTGGCACTCGAATTTCAAAAATAAAGCAAATCCTCCCTTTTTCTCTACCCACTTTGTGTCCAAGTTGTCATATATTCATGGCATCCATTTCAACTCACTTTTGATTAGTAATTTCTCTAAGAACATTAATTAACACATCTTTATAGACGAAGGTATTGGAGGAGGGAGTGCAGGGGAACATAAGTAGGAAGATAGGAAAAAGGTACAGAATAGTTTATTTTGGCTGCTTAGCGTTGCTAAGAAACATTGCTTCTATTTTTAACGTACATCTTTTTAAAATTTTTTTTACTTTTTGGTTTTTTGAGATAGGGTTTCACTGTGTAGGTAAGACTGACCTGGAACTTACTATGTAGCCCAGGCTGGTCTCCTCACAGTGGCCCTCCTGCCTCAGCCTCCCGAGTGCTGGGATTACAGGTGTGTGCCACCACGTCCGGCTTTTAATGTACATCTTTGAAGGTTAGGAAATTAGATGTTTAAAACATTTTGTTTGTTTGTTTGTTTTTGGTACCAGGGATGGAACTTGGGCCCTTGCACTTGCAAGGCAGGCAGTGTAAAAAACAGTTTGAAGGGGCCAGGGATTTAGCTCAGTGGCACCATGCCTGCCTTGCTAGTGCAAGGTCCTGATTTTGATCCTCAGTACCAAAAAGAACCCCCTAAAACAAAAACTAACCACTTTGAAAAGAGTCAGGAAAGAAATTGTAAAAAGAAATCTAGCAGGTGTAAAATTAAATGGATCTGTTCATGTAATGGAGATATTTACCATATTTTAAGGTGTGCAGTCTAACATATAAAAAACAAATCTACCTTGTATGCCAGTCAGTAAGTGAACCCTTAAAATAATGAGGTATTCAGCTAGAGAAAAAGTACATTTCATTTAGTGTTGTAGGATTAGTAATTTGAACAAATACATAATGCTATTTTAGTTCTTAAACTTAGAAAGTTTGCAGATTTTAAAAAGGAATTTTTCCTGGTAGTTTTTAAAATTATGTATTTTTTACTTGTACATTTGTAGAACATAATGATTACATTTATCTTGGGGAATTTGTATACATAAGTAACACATCTTAATTCTGTTTGTCCTCCCCTTTTCCCATTCGTTCTCCTAATTCTTGATCCCCTTTCCATTTGAAAAAGCTGTATTTCCATTTTTTCTCTAATTCTTCTTTTAAGTGATAGAATTATCTGTTATGTAATAAAATGCCTTATCTATCACATTTGGCACACAAATAATCAGCATTAAAATCCAGTAAGACAGAAGAGTACCTAATGCATCTAAAGACATACACTGTAGAGACAGAAGTTTGAAATTTTCAGGTATCTTTAGAAAATACTATATGTCTAGAAAAGGGCTCAAAGATTTATATGAAAATGTGGATGGAGATTATCCTGAAGTGGTGTGATAATGGATGATTTTTGCATTTTGTTTTTGCAAACGTTTTTAAGTTTCTTCAGAGAACAAGTTACAAAACATAACAATAGGGCCAGGGATTTAGCTCAGTGGTAGCATCGCCTGCCTCCAAAGCACAAGGACCTGAGTTCAATCCCTGGTACAAAAAAACAAAACAAAACAAAAAAATCACAATACCTTATAAGGTTACAATTAGAAAATTTTTCTTTTAAAATCGTATTTAAGGACTTTGTTTTGGCACATAACTTTAGTTTCTCTTTTTTAAATGTATTTTTTTTTTTTTTTTTTTTTAATTTGGTACCTGGGATCGAACCCAAGTCCTTGTGCTTGTGAGGCAGGTGGTGGAACCACTGATCTACATCCCCGGCCCCTATCTCTCTCTTTTTTTAACAATGAAAGTACAATAGAATGCTTTTAAACTGCAGTCTTGGCAGTCATGATTTATACTTATGATCCCAGCACTTTGGAGGCTGAGGCAGCAGGAACATCTGGAGTTGAGGGCCAGCCTAGGCTACATAGCATAGTGAGTTTGAGGCCAGCCTGAAATACATAGTGAGATTCTGTCTCCAAAACAATTTATTAAAAAAATAATGTATAGCTGGCGTGGTGGCGCATGCCTGTAATCCCAGCACTTGGGAGACTAAGACAAGATCGCTGTGAGTTAGAGATCAGCCTGGGCTACACAGTGAATTCCAGGTCAGTCTCAACTACATAGTGAGACCCTGTCTCAAAGAAAAAAAAAACAAAAGTGTTTTAGGGCATACTCAGGCAATCTTTGATGGTAGTTCACTCTTGTTTTATGATGCTTATATAGGTTTATTTATTAAAGCTTTATTTTCTTTTTTAGTAAGGGAATGTAATAGAAGACAATATTAGGAATTGTCATGAATTTAAAAACTCTTAGGCATAAGAACTGAATATTAGTTCTTTTTCATCATACTTGTTCTTCAAATTTACCTGTTCACATGTCCTTTTAGGGTTTCCTGTGGGCTCTTTAGAAAGAGTGTTTACTACTATGATATATGAAATCTGATGTACTTGTTTCCCACTTATCTTAAATACATAATTTTATAACTTTTAGTTTATCAGGTATCTTGTAATTGATCTTGAAATACTTGTTCCTATTGTTGTAAGCTTGTTTTAGGCTTTTTCCAAGCACCTGGAGACTGTTTTTTTTTTTGACGCAGGGTCTCACTGTGTAGTTCAGGCTGGTCTTGAACTCACTGTGTAGCCCAGGCTGGTCTTGAACTCTGTGACCCTCCTGCCTCAGCCTCCTGAGTGCTGGGATTACAGGTGTGTTCCATCACGCTTGGCAGGAAGCTTTTAAACAGAGCAGGAGACAGATTGTTCATCCGGTAATACTTTTACTGTTACCTTTATGACAATATCAGTTCAAAATTAAAATATCTTTTTAAACAATTGAGTGTTATAGACAGATATATGAATAGGTTTAAGGCAATTTTATGTGCCAGTTCATCTCATTTTTCTTACTTTATTACCTCATTTTCTTTGAGCATTTTATGTTTTATGATGGGGCACATTCCTGACTTTCCGGTAATACTGATAAGATGAATCTCTTGGTCTCATATTTAGTATAAGACTTAGGCCACAAACATCTAATGGAGTCATGGGTAGAAAATAAGATATGAGAAATTATTGCAGACATTTAACTTTTAAATTGCAGACTATCGGTGGTCCATGCCAAGTCATAGTTCACAAGTGGGAGACTCATCTACAACCACGATCAATAACCCCTTTAGGTATGGGCATTAACTGCATCTGTTTGAGGCATATGCATAAAGTTGCTAATATACTACACAGTGGCTTGGTGAGATTTATTAAAATGTATTCTAAAGTTTAAAATCAATGCATTATCAATATACAAGTTTCACTTAGCATTTCATGGATCTTTCAGAACTAAATGGTTCTTAATTGCCTTTCTTTGTAAACTTCATTAGAAATGCTTGCTCATTTTTATTTTCTTGGATTAGTTTAATTTATTATGCAGTGCTTGTGTTTATGGATGTGTTAGAAAGTTTGTAAGATAATATTCTTGACTGAGTATCTGTGGCATTATTTGATTATTTGCTGAGGCATAGACAGCATTTGAGGAAAGAAATAAACCAAAATAAATCTTTCAGATTTTAGATTTGAAGAGTAAGAGCAATAGAATCATTTACTCTCATTTTTTTGTAGCTAGTAAATATTTGAATAAACTTTATGAATGAATTCAAATTTCTTTGTTATAGTTTACATTTTTTCTTCCTAATTTGCTGAAAGCTTTGTTTGTTTTTAAAATGTGACTCCGTATTCTTGTGCCTGAAACTGGCATTTTTCTTCATACAAATTTTTTTTTTTTTTTGAGACAGGGTCTCACTATGTAGTCAGACTGACCTGGAACTCACTATGTAGCTCAGGCTGGTCTCAAACTCACAGTGATCCTCCTGCCTCAGCCTCCCGAGTGCTGGGATTACAGGCGTGCGCCACCACACCTGGCTCCATACAAATATTTTTAATTTCTTTTTCCATGCTGAAAATATAAAATAATGAAGTTGATTTTACATATATTATTCATTACAGTGTTCATGTGTAAATGGACTTAGTGCTGAAAAGAGTGTCTTAGTTTTTAGGCAAAGTTAAAATTTAAGGATAACTAAGTTGCCTGTTTACTAGCTTAGATTAAAAAGTGGGTGTTTTTGGTTTACCTTGTATCATGAATATATATCTTATCTAAATAGAGGTTTCATTCCATCTTCTTTGTTGGATTTCTTTTTGTATTAATACATTTTTTATAGTATATTTAGAGATTTTACATAAGTAGAATTATAGTAGTCCCATACTGAGTTTGGAACTTACTAGGTATTAAGTTAAAATATCTTGCACTTAAAAAAATTTTTTTTTAATTATAGAAGTGTAGTGACTTTGTTTCTCTTCAGAAAGAACTTCATTGCTTTTAGAAATAAAACTTGAGAGCTCTGTGAAATCTACTTGAGAATCTATGTAGCATTTATTTAAAGATATTTCAGACTGTTTAAACTGGGAAAGTTGGTAGGGAGGAATGATAATTAGTATTTTACTTAGAGAAATGGGGCTTTACAGATTTAATTGCGCTGTTAAGTGAAGGGGCTGTGCTAGCACTTACTCTTTTCTTGGTAGTTCCTCACAGCTCTGTATATGCAGGTAAGTTTATACAGTTTGGAAAGCTTTTTAGTTGGCCATAGAGAATAGTTGAGATTTAAGGAGAATTACATATTGGACAAGTTCAGAATGTTCACTACCTAAGAATAAGCATTTTAATTGTGCCAAGACCATTGGTTTGGAAAAAAATGGACAAGGGGTTATCACTATCTAGCCACCTGTTAGCTCATCCATTGGAGGGTGTAGAATTTGTCCTGATGCCTCTAGAGCACCTCTCTGAGGGGTTTTCTTTCTGTTCTTTATACTGTCATGCATAATAAACCAAAGTCTAAGAACTATAGTTCTTGCTAGATGCTTTCAAAGGGAATTCTTTATTGAGGGCTACAATAAATATGCTTATTCACTTTAGGCTGCTTTTAAATTGTAGATTTAATATTTTAAACAGTCCTTAAAGTTGGTGATTTCTCATTTGTTCATTTTGTATAATCTATTAACAAGATTTTTATTTTCCTTGAATTCTAGAAAGTGAAATTATTATTGACGATGGACAATTTGGAATCCACAGTAAGTGAGACTAAATTCTAAAAATGTTTACTAATGTGATTGAGATGCATTTCATTTGAAATATGTAGCAGTGGGAAATAGAATATAGTCTGATTTTGAAAATAGAACCAATAAACAAAGTACATTTTGTTAAATAATAGTTTTCAATATAATTCTTTTTTTTTTTTGATACGGGGATTGAACTCTGGTCCTTGCGCTTGCAAGGCAGGCCACCGAACCGCAGAGCTAAATCCCGGCTCCAATATAATTCTTATACATTACACTTTTATGCTTTACACCAAAAAGATAAAACCCTATTTTGTTTTTAAAACACTATTGTTTGATTTGGTGGTTTTAGGTATGTGTTTATGTAATTAATTTAAAAGCAGTATACTTATTTGAGGAAGTGATAATACTAATTGACCCGGCTTGACCAGGGTATACATTTATTGACTTATAACTCTGTACCCCATAAATATTTTAAAAATTTTGGCCAGGTGTGGTGGTGCACACCTATGATCCCAGCACTTGGGGAGGCTGAGGCAGAAGGATTGCTGGGGGTTTGAAGTCAGCCTAGGCTACATAGTTCAGGGACACCTGGAACTATCTATTAAGAACCTGTCTCAAAGAAACAAAGCAAAACAAAAAAATCCCGTACCGTTCTATGTAAACCTCATATACTTAACAGTTTTTTTGGTTGTTGTTTCTTTTGGGGGGTTTACTGGGGATTGAACTCATATCTTGTGCTTGTGAGGCAGGCGGTGGAACCACTGAGATAAATCCCCGGGCAGTAAATAATATTCTGAGGATTCAGATTTTCTTCAGCGACTGGAGTTCTTAATGTCTCGGGGTCATGCTGCTAATTTGGCTTCTCCTTTTAGAAAAGTGTACTTTAGGAATCAAGGGTGGAAAAAGGGTGGGCGGAATTGTGCTTGTGCTAACTCAGAGCCAGGGATAAATTGCTGATAACCAGTTTGCTTTTCTGGCAAGCACCAGAAAGAGTAGGACCTGAATGTTTTGGTTGTGGTTTTAGTGTTTGTGTATGTTTATACATATTAACAATGTGCATGGTCTGCCAGCATTTGGATAGGAATTGATCTGCCTTTCTGTAATTTTGTTAGAATGCTTTACATCATAATATAGTTCATAATACTTGAATAGCTTTAGCATTTATTATTTTAGTTTTATCTTCTGTATTTAAAAATATTTATGGTGCCTGTTTTGAAGAACTCTTTTTGAGGAGTAATTTTTCATTTCTTTATCTATAATGCCTAGCATTATGTCATTCCTTTTATATATCAGTTATTGTGTATAGTCATAAAATGGCATTCTTTCCTCATTTTTTTTCTTTTTTCTTTTTTGGTGAGGTTTTCCATCTTAAATTTAGCTTTAGTTAGCTTTCAAGGTGGAAAGTCATTTCTCTGACTTTGTCCATTTCTAAAAACTGTTTATAATTTGACAGTTATTAAATATCCTTAAGTTATACCTAAGGAGTAAGAGATTTCTTGCTTTTTTTAAGCCCTTTGATGAAAAAACTTAGATCCAAATGAATTAACAGCTTTTCTAGTATTCATAAAAACTTTATTACCTATGTTTGTAGGCAAGTTCAAGTTAAACAGTGTTAATACAATGTTGTTTTATAATCACGTAGGGGACTGGGGATATAAGTGCCTACCTGGCAAGTCTGAGGTCCTGAGTTCGATCCTCAGTACAAAAAAAAAAAAACAAAAAAAAAAACAAGTGCATTCATATAATGTGTTTATGACAATATTAAGTATGAGAATACATAATTGACATACAATTTTGTTTTTAACTATTTCTTGGTGGTTTTTTTTTAACTATTTCTCATATGTCTAGCGCTAGTGGTATAGCTAATTTCAGTTGAATATCTCATGTGAAGCTTCAGAAGTACAATAGCGATCCCTAACACGACGTTTGCTGGGTCAGGAACCTTCTCAGAACATGGCCTCTGAAATAGATTTGCATTACTTAAGTAATAGACTCAAAAAGAATATTTTAACTAGGTAGTGATTGCATAGCCAGTTGTTAATCATTTAACTCTTATTTCCTTTCAAATTAGTGTTTATTTTTCCCAAGATGAATTTAAGTCTACCTATGTATTTTCTTTAGGGGTAAAAAAATCAATGTTGTATACAGGTCATTTAATATGAATGTGAACTAGAATTGCCAGAACATGTATTTTTTTATTATAAAAAGTTTCACTAGTCACTGTGTATTATACATACTAAATTGTTTCAAAGGACATGCTTAATCATTTCTGTTTTTCATATTTACTCTGCCAGATGGTGTTGAAACTCTGGATTGTGGATGGCTGACATGCCAGACCGAAATAAGATTACGTTTGCATTATTCTGAAAAACCTCCAGTCTCAATAACCAAGAAAAAATTTAAAAAATCTAGATTTAGGTATGACCATGTGTTTTTGTTATTGAAGCCATTTATATTAAATGTAGATTTCTGATCTTACTGGTTTTATACTTTAAGTTTATAAACATAATAAACTTCTAATAAGTAACATCACATTTTCTAAAAACTACAGGGTTTTATAATAGTGACCTGGCTTTTTTTTTCCTCTTAATTACTATAGTTATATTAGGAACCAGAAAAACTTGTTTATATAAGAGTGGTCCCTAAGCTTATTATGCATTTTTGTTGAATTTTCCTAGTGTAACAATAAACTTAAAATTGATAGAAGAGAAGCAGATTTGTGTTAAGTAAGGGGAGAATGGCATAAACAAAGAAAAATGATTGTTGTGAATATCCTTCCAAGTTTTAAAGTTTACCATGGCTCGAAAATGAAAAAAAATTTAGGAAGAAATGTAATTATTATAGCGGTTCCAGATTTGTTTGAAAGCCTGGATCAGTTGTAGGGTTAGACGTAAAGCTTTGTGTAAATGGTCCAGTAGTAACTTAATTTTTCTTTGGGTTTGTTTTGTTTGTTTGTTTTGTTTTTTTGGTTGGTTTTTTGAGACAGGGTCTCACTGTGTAGTTGAGACTTGACCTGGAACTCACTATGTAGCCCAGGATGGTCTTGAACTCATAGTGACCCTCCTGCCTCAGCCTCCGGAGTTCTGGGATTACAGGCATGCACCACCACACCCGGCCTATAATTTAATTTTTCTGTACATCATTGTACATATCTCCTAAGTGGCCTGGCTTCTTTTCTTTAAGACCGGGGAAGTCCTGTCATTTGAAAGTTTATGACTGTGATACTGAGAATTCTGAGTCTTGATATGATATAACAACAGGCTTTTCTGACAAAATGTCAGGCCCTGGTTGGATTAATTTTTAATAATTAAAGACTCTGATAACAAGGTTTTTATCTTCCTAATAAAATTCTTAGTGATTTTCAGTGTGGCAATCCTTTTTTTAGTATAACTGCCTGAATATCACAAATGCCATAGATAAGGAAACTTGGGTGGCACTTGCTAATCCTTTGTGTTGGTGTTCTGTGTGTACTTTGTCCTTTTGCCTTTGCTTATCTGAAACACCACTGTAATTGGATCACATGGTTGATCTTCAAGAGACCTTTTCATCTCACAAATTCTTTTGAGACAGGGTCTCTGTGTAGTTGAAGCTGGCCTTGAACTCAGTGTGTAGTTAACAATTTTTTTTTTTTTTTTTTTTTTTTGAGATACGGTCTTACTTTGTAGTTTGAGCTGGCCTTAAACTCATATGTAGCCCAAACTGGCCTTGGGATTACAGACATATGCCACCATGCCCAGCTACAAAATTCTTTAAGGAAGTTAGTGGTGTATGGTTGAATATTAAGTCAGGCATGGTGGCACATACCTGTAATCTCAATGCTGTGGAAGGTGAGGCAAAAGAACTGAATTTGAGACCAATCTGGGCTACTTATCAAGTTCAAGGCCAGCCTGGACTAATAGTGAGACTCTGTCTCAGAAAACAGAAAAATCCAAACAAACCATTAATATTTTGTTTATATTCTGTTTTGTGTTTTTGACACACAGGGTTCCACTATTTAGGTAGCTCAGGTTGGCAATGAACTCAGGATGGGGGTGGTCTGGCTGCCTCAGCCTCCCAAGTGCTGGGATTACAGGCTTGCCCAGCCATGCACAGCTTTAAATCTTATATTTAAAGAAGTGAATTGTGCTATAGTTTTCTACTGTCTTAGAGTAGCAAATAAATTATCTACCAGGAGTTAAGTACTTTAGCAGCATGGCAAGTGCCTATGCATTTAAGTAAAGCAGTGAATCTCCATCTTGTTACTATCGTGTTTTAGACACATTTCTCTTTTTCATTAATTACCAGTGGAAAGCGATGATGTCTCTTATGAGAGACTATAACATTTATATAGTTTTTTGTTTTGTTTTGTTTGGTTTTTTGAGACAGGATCTCACTATGTAGTTGAGACTGACCTGGAACTCACTATGTATCTCAGGCTGGTCTCAAACTCACACGATCCTCCTGCCTCAGCCCCCTGTGCGCCACCACACCCGGCCAGTATTTTTTTGTTTGTTTGTTTCTTTTGATATTGAGGATTGAACTCCGGTCCTTTTGCTTGTGAGGCAGGCAGCAGAACCACTGAGCTAAATCCCTGGCTCTATATAGTTATTTGAAGAAAGTCTTTAACAGGTATAAAGTGAATTTAAGGACCAGGGATTTAACTCAGTGGAACCATACCTGCCTTGCAAGCACAATGTCCTGAGTTCGATCCCTGACACACACAAAATAAATAAATAAATAAAATAAACAAGTTTGTTCACTGATCTTTCCTTTCAACTTTTTTTAAAGGGCTTTCTTTTTGCTCATTCTGTCCACTTGCTATATTCTGTTAGAGAATACTTTTTCCTCCGCTCACTAATAGTATCAGTTATCCAGAACAATTACTCACAGTCTTATTCTGAGAAGAGATGATAATTTTGAGCTACTCGTAAATTAATAGTATGAATACGGAAGTAATTGTGTAAATAGTGAAGTAATTTGTACCGGTGAACTCTCAGGGAGACCTCAGAATCATGGCTATAAGGAAAGTGTCAGCAGTTGAGGGGAACAGATTTATACAAAGCATGGGCCACTGTAGTACAATTCCATTATTTATATTTGAAGTCAGATCCCATTTAAAACTAGAATGAAAACTTCATGACTTCGTATGCTACATTAATAATATTAAAAATGCTTATATACCATTAAATTGGTGCAAAAAATATTCCAGAATTAAGTTGACAAGTGTTCTGTAGAAGTAATTGCTTTTCAATGGAGTAGACTAGCCTTTATGACCCTGCAACTTGGGTAATTGGTGTTTTCTTTTTCTTTTTTTTTTTCTTCGGTACCAGGGATCAAACTCAGGTCCTTGAGCTAGTGAGGCAGGTACTGGAACCACTGAGCTAAATCCCCAGCTTCTGGTGTTTGTTTTCATTGCTGTGAGGTGGATAAGAGTTAGAGACTTTTGGTCTGTTTCATGAGAATAGTGTGTCTGGGGTGTGTGTGCATATATATACATTAAAAAAAATTTATACAAAAAAACCAAAAAGTTTTTATACATATAAAATTAAGCTTTTTGTTTTGTTTAGCTTTCACTGTGGTAAGGTAGAAGAAAGAGGAAAATCTTTAATATAAACCTCCACTTCTAACAGTATGGCCCAGTTTTCTGCTTGTCTTAGATATATTTATGAGACCTCTCAGAAGGAGTTCTTACTGACATTTAAAGGCTGAGAAATTATCTTGGTTATTGGGATAATAGGAAATACTTTAGATTCACACACACAAAGAATGAACTAAAACAACCGTAGTAGATATAAGTCATTTATCTCATGAATATCTTGCAGATAAGCATTATGTGTATCTTTGTGGAATATATTATTTTGTTATTTGAGCATATTCAAGAGACTTTTTTTTGGTGCTGGGGATCGAACTCAGGACCTTAGGCTTGCAAGGCAGGTGCTGGAACTATTAGGCTAAATCCCCGGCCCAAGAGACATTTCTATAAATTTTTCTTTTGTGGCACTTTTTCATTTCGTTTTTTTCATATCATGTAGGGTAAAGCTTACACTAGAGGGTCCCGAGGAAGATGATGATGATGCGGTATCTCCCACTGTTCTTCATAAAATGTCTAATACCCTAGAGATAGCCTTGATAAGTGACAATGAGTTCAAGTGCAGGCACTCACAGCCAGAGTGTGGGTATGGCCTGCAGCCTGACCGTTGGACTGAGTACAGCATACAGACGATGGAACCAGATAACCTCGAACTGATCTTTGATTTTTTTGAGGTGAGTAGTTGTTTCAGTGATTCAGTTGACAAGAAATGCAGACCTTTTTATATGTGGCTTTATTTTTATTTTAATTTATGTAAAGTCATAATTCTTAGAAAATAACCAAGATTGATTATGTAAAGGTACAAATTTCCAACAATGAATGTCATTATATTGTATACATTAAATGTACCGATACAATTAATAAAAAATTACATGAAGAAAATTTTAGAAGTACTAAATAAATTTTTAATAAATGAAAAAATGATCATGCTCTTAGATAAGAATCAATGTAAAGTCAATGTCTCATAAACAAAATAATTAACTTTTTAGATATTTGTTCCTCATACATTTTAGTAGACTCAAATACTTTTAAGAATGTAATTAAGAGAACTTCAATAGAATTAATGTTTTAGATCAAGACTAGCTGTCTTCAGTCTGTGCCTATTAATCTAAATATGAATGACTTCTATACAAAGGAGTCTCCAAAGATAAGTAGAGGGCCAAACAGACTGATGTAATTAGCATGATACAGCCCTTTTCAGAGTGGAATTGTTTATGGAGGCATTTTATTAGGAGTATTTGTTATACAACGTGGGCTTACTTTACAACTTAGTGTTATAAATGTGTAATAAAACTAGTTATGAAACTTACGCCAGGTAGTATGGAGTCTGTAGTGCCAATTTTCACAAGCTCATTAGACCAGGAGCTTGTTGACTCACTGGCTCTTCAGATCCTTTCCACAAATAATGTCTGGTAACTGAGAGAAGTCTCAGTTCCTTAGTGCAGCATACTGGTTTCCTTGGCCTCTAGCTCCTTTTTCCTCTAAATTAGAGTTTAAACTTTTGAGGGTAGGGAACATGTGGCTAGTAGTAGCACCTGCCCTTGGTGTTTCTTGAGAAGAAGAATTTGGAATGATTTAAACCTACAGAGTGAAGCTTGCTACCAGGTTTATTACAATCATTGAATTGTATAATTTAGTGATGGCTTTAGATATTCTTTGTGAGTGGTTGTTTGGCTGTCTTGCAGTATATAAAATTAAAATATTTCCTCTAAGATTACAGTTTTTAAAAACACCTATAGATCTTACTTGAGCAATAAGATCTGTGGAACTTTACTATATATAAAAATAAAGTACGAGAGGCCGGGCATGCTAGTGCATGCCTGTAATCCCAGCACTTGGGAGGCTGAGGCAGGAGGATCGCTGTGAGTTCGAGATCACCCTGGGCTACATAGTTCCAGGTCAGACTCAACTACAGAGTGAGACCCTGTCTCAAAAAAACCAACCCCCCCCCAAAAAAAAAGTATGAGAAAGGTGTAGGGGTGTACACCTATAATTCTAGCACTCCTATAATGACACACTGTCTCAATAACAGCAAAACAAAAACGCAGGATGAAGTTGTTGTTGTTGTTGTTGTTGTTGTTGTTGTTGTTGTTGTTGTTTTAAACAGAGCCTTGCTATGTAGCTCAGGCAGGCCTTGAACTTGGGACCACCATGCCTGGCTAGGATGAAGTTTTTTTTGAACATTTCCTTGCTACATACCAAGCTTTTAAATCTCTTGAACACCACCCTAACTTCCTTTTTGTTTGGCTAGTGTTTTTGGAAATACTGTTTTATTCATAGACTGAGCTGCTAAAATACCCAGTTGTAATCTCAAAGCAAGCATTTAGTTTTCTAGTGAGTTAATGCCCCTATATGCTGTGGATGTGGGCACATTCAAGAAGATATAATTTATGTTAAAATTCACTATAAATGTATTTTATTCCTTCAGTGTGAAGTGCTTAGAATTTTTCAGGCATTGTTTTAAATTCACCTAATGCATAACATATCAGAATTGGAACTCAATTATGATTAATAAAGTAATATATAAAATACATATTTTTAAAAATATATTTGTTACCTGGAAACCATCTTAATTACCTGAATGTAAGTTGGTGTTTTTCATCAGTCCTCCATAGATTCTGAGTTGACTTTAAAGGGAGTTCTTTGATCTTCAAATTGAAAGTGTGAAATAATCAGTCTTTGTTTTGTTTTTTTTGGTACCGGGCATCAAACTTGGGACCTTGTGTGTGCAAGGCAGGCAGCAGCACCACTGAACTAAATCCCAGCCCAATAATCCAGTCTTTGGAACCTCATTTTTTAGGAAGATCTCAGTGAACACGTAGTTCAAGGTGATGCCCTTCCAGGACACGTGGGCACAGCGTGCCTCTTATCATCCACCATTGCAGAGAGTGGGCGGAGTGCCGGGGTCCTTACCCTTCCTATCATGAGCAGGAATTCCAGGAAAACCATAGGCAAAGTGCGAGGTAAGTGTGGGAGAAGCAGGCAGGCTATTACAAATAACATTAAGTTAGGGTTTTTGTTTTAAATTGAGTATATGAGAATGGTAGAGGTATTTGCTTCAGATTATTAACTATTACAATAACTAAGTAACAAGTCTGTTTTCTAGACACTCAGAATTACTCTTTTAGATTTTTATGTTTAAATGTCATTGAGCTCAGTGGCCTTTTAAATCTTTACCTTTGTCTCCCCCTCCTTTTTTCTTTCTATGAAAGTTGACTTTATCATCATTAAGCCATTAATGGGCTACAATTGTGATATGAAATCTTCATTTTCCAAGTATTGGAAGCCAAGAATACCACTGGATGTTGGACATCGAGGTGCAGGGAACTCGACCACAACCGCCCGGTAAGTTTCCTATTTGGGTAGAATTAGCATTCAGTAACTCATGCTTGATGCCATTAGTGGTTTAATCCCCTAAAGATGATGCTTTATTATTATCCTGGGAAGTAAATACAGTTTGGTAATAGGGATCACCATTTCAAAGTAGATACAAGCTCTAGCCCTAGATTCCGGCCCATCTTTTTAATACTGTATTGAATTGATGATGAGAAAGATACTATGGTAGAAAGCCAAGAGGGAAATTTGGTACAGGACCTTGGTGGCATCTTTGTGTCAGTGTCATGTTCCTTGCTCTTGGCCTGTTTCCCTCTCTTGGTCTCAGTTTTGTCATTTATGAGTGGAAGGATTTGGATCAGATTATCCTGGTATTCCTGTCTGCTCCAAGCATGAATCTAAAAAAACATAACTAAACTACAAGAAGTGTTGGTTCCCCATCAGAAAGATGGCCCTTTCTCTTTTCAGCAGACACAAATTCCAGCCTAATACTAGTTAGTTGTCTTTTCCCTTCTAGTTTCGAATTGTATTCAGCTACCGGTAACATAGCTTATTGCCATAGGCTTTCTATAAATTTTAACCCCACCCCTTTGATTTAAAATGCTGCTATGGCCTGGCATGGTGGCACATGTCTGTAATCCCAGCACATGGGAGGCTGAGGCAGGAGGATCGCTGTGAGTTCCAGACCAGCCTGGGCTACATAGTGAGTTACAGATCAGTCTCAACTACATAGTGAGATCTTGTTTCAGAAAAAAAAAATAAATGAAAAAATAAATAAATGCTGCTATGAAAGTTTTGGGGGCCTGTCATAATCTTAGAAGTCTAAAACAAATCAGATACCATTTAAGGAAGAAGTATCCAAGGCTCTTCTTAGTGTTTTGGCTTTTAGTACAATTTTTATTCTTAATACAATTTTTATACTTATACCCTTTTTGTGTGTCAGTCTTTCTCATTCCTCTGCAGCCTGCTAGTATTGTTATCTGGAGGCCTCATTACAAGGAGCAAATTTCAGTCTCTATTTCTTCATAGCAATGAAAAGGATTGTTTTCTTAGTTGGTCACCTCATGTGTCTATTAAAAAAAAAATTCCATAGTACAGGGCAGTATGTGTTGTGATATAGTATATGTTTATAGTCAGCTTATCAGTACCTATGATTGGTTAGAGCTTGCATTTGTGGAATAAATGCATATAGCAGCCAAATATGGTCGCAGTGATATTTTGAAAAAGTGATTTTTGGAAAAAAAAAGCCTCAACATAAAGAATACTATTTTCATTGTTAAAAATACGTGAACTTATTTTATTACATTTGTTTTCTTTTCTATAGTCTACGATAACTATATTTCTTCTCATTTCAGGCTGGCTAAGGTTCAAGAAAATACTATTGCTTCTTTAAGAAACGCTGCTACTCATGTAAGTAACCTCTCTTTAAACAACTGTGGACTTCCAAGGTAAATAAATGTGGCCCAGGGCAGTCCCTAAATCTACAAAGGGGAATATTTATTCTTGTTCTGAACATGTGTCTGTGTGAAAATGCAGTATCTCTTGGCATTTGTATATAGATCCATAGTCAGAATTGGGATGAAAATAGTAGAATCATAAGCATCTTTTTTGATCTAACAAACTTTGAGTTCTTAAAGCAAGAAAAGGTGTGACGGGGCCTGCTGTACTGGAGAGACCATCTGGGCGGACACTGAGCAGTGAGGCTTGTTTATTCACTTGTGTTTGGGCACACAAGCGGGCTGAGTCTGGATCAGAAGGGCACTCGGCAGTGAGCAGACAGGAAGGGAAGGTGCAGGATTACTGCCCTGAGGAATATGGGTTGATAGAGTGAACTCACGCTTCTAGGGACAGGGTGTGGTTGAAGATATCATGTTTACTGGAACTGCAGTGGCTGGGATGTGATTTACTGTCTTTGCTCTTCTGCACATCCATTGCTGAGGCTTGACAATGCCTGGGTCATGCTTGGTGCTGCGCTTCTGCCCCCACAGTTGCCATGGAGATGTTGTGTGCTCTAGCCCACCATTGCCTTACCCACCAGGCGTTATGTTCGTCTTTTTGTTGTTATAAAGAAAAGGGGGAAAGTAAGGGAGGTGGGTGCTGTTTCTCATGGCTGCTTTGTGCAAGACATGGGTAGCGTGGATACTTTAATTGGAAGAGAGATCTTGAGGAATATGGGTATATTGAGGAGAGGTCAATGTCAGCATCTGTTGGTGATCTCCTCAATGAGGTCCTGTAAAAATTGTGAGAGAAGTCTTGAGAAGGCATGGCCCAAAGAGGAGGAGAATAATTCAGATGAGGTTTAGTTAATGGAAGAAGCCATGAGACCTAGTGCCAAATATTGGTCTTAAGAGTCAGATGTGGTCAAATTTTTCAAGCCTTAAGTTAGCCTTTTTGGTACCTGGGGTTGAATTCAAGACCTTGTGCTTGCGAGGCACGTGCAGGGCCACTGAGCTGAATTGCCGGCTGTAAGTTAGCCTTTTTGTTGTGCCTCACACCAAGCCTGACTGGTTGATACAGAAGCAGCATTTTGTCTTAGGAAGATGTTTATGCTCTCTTTTTTGGCTGAGAGGATCTAAACTCCTATGATTTTGGAGAGGTATTGTTGTTAGGGAGTCCATCTAGTTCTGTAAGGTACAAATGGAGTAAGCTACTTCTTGGAGGCTGCCAGAAAGATTTCTGGAGAGGGAACAATAAATAGCAGGCCAGGGAGGTAATAGGTCCGTACGTTTTCTGATCGAGGTTTTAATAAATAGCAGCAGGCTAGGAGGGGTGGAAGAGGGAGATTTCCCATGGAGAGCAGAAGTAATGAGTGGCAACAGGGTTGACAGCGGACCTCTCCAGATGAGGTTCAATGTCATAGCGGAGAGTGGGTGAGTGGCCAAGGCAGACGTCTCCAAAGTTGACCAGGCACTGGGGAAAGACAGTTCTCCCCAGGGAGTGTTCTGTGACCAGTCCTGGTCTTAAGACCAATATTTATTTAAAAGGCAGGGAAAACAGATGAGCCTCTCTTGGTCTCTGGCAGGTAAGGGAATGGGAGGAGGAAGAGGGGGGCGGGGACCTAATCGGGGAGAGGTTGGAGGCCTGAGGGTGAAACCAAGTAAGACTAAAGCAGACTAAAGTGAGTGAAGCAATGAGTCAGGGCAAGGCATTTAAGGGTCTTCTGGAATTAGGGATAGCCTGAGGAAGTGGGAGAGATTACTTGAGATTTTTATAGGGAGTCAGGTGAGTTAATCAGGATGCAGTTTCGCCTGGGAGCAGTGTGTCTGTTGGACAGATTAGAGTAATAAATTCTTATCGTTGTACTTTTAGAGCTGTTGTGCCCTAGATAGTATTTTTTTAAATACTTTGTTTCCTTCTCTCAGGGTGCAGCTTTTGTAGAATTTGATGTCCATCTTTCAAAGGACTTTGTGCCTGTGGTATATCATGATCTTACTTGCTGTTTGACCATGAAGAAGGTATGTTAATGGATATTCCTTCATTTTAAACTTATTAGTAAGTGAAAGGTTAAAAACTAGAAAGCTTTTCATATTTTTAGTTACTTGTTGATTTTTTGGTGAATTATTGTCAATCCTTTCCTTTGTCGGGCTCATGCAGTATTGACAGAGCAAGTTGTAAATCTAGATGTCCTGGGAGGCCTCTGCATTGCCTTGTATTGCCTTATATAACAAAGGGACAGTCCAGGTGGTTTTTCTGCCGGTCTGCCACTGTCAACTGTATTGAGGCAGGGGAGGAAGACTTTCAGTGTTTGCAGAGCCCCTGTCTATTTTTGCTTCATGTTATTTCTCAAATTAATAAGCTAGTATGATGTAGCCTAAAGCAGGAGGAGCCACAGTGAAAAATCAAAGAAGTGGTTAGGAGTCGGAGGAGAGCTCTGAGAAAGAAAATTAGAAAGCCAGGTGGTGGAGGCAGGAGGATTGCCATGAGTTTGAGGCCAGCCTGGGTTACATAGTGAGTTAAAGCCCAGGCTGAACTGTATAATATAGTGAAACCCTATCTAAAAAAAAAAAAAAATTAGACTTAAGAGGCAGAGATACAACACTTTATGCAAGAAGGGAACCGTTCAGAACTACGTTTCAAGCCATGTTTTGGTGACTGGTGTAATAGACATTTCAGAGCTCATGGACAGGAGGTAGGAGGAGCAGCAGTGTGAGCCCCAGGGAGGGTGGAGAGAATTAAAGAGTCAGAATGGAATTTGAGAAAGTGTATGATTTTTTAAAAAAACTTGTCATTGTTGTGCAAGCATAATTGCCATTGAAGTCCCTGAACTTCAGTATACAAATGACCCAAGTAGTTTCTCAGGCATTTAAAGTAGGAGGATTGTATCATTCAGCTTTCCCACTGCTGGAACAATATACCTGACACCCACAATTTAGTTTTGGCTCACAGTTTCATAGCTTTCAATCCATGGCTGGCTGCCTCTGTGGAATGGTCCACCAAGGATGGTGGCTGAGGGGCTCATCAGGAGATAAGTGCACCTCCTGGTGGCCAGAGCAGAGTACAGGAGGAGAGGGCATGGTGCAGCCTGGAGAAAAGGCCTCCAAAGGCTCTTCCCCCTCCAGTGGGACCCCCCTCCAGCGGCACAAATGCTCAGAACCTTGGTGGGTCCGTCCACTGAGTATAGTGCCCTGGACCAGCCACCTCCCCGGGAATCTCGAAATCTAGTCAGGCTGACAGTCCAGGTTCGTTTGGTATTTTCTTTAAAACTGTATTAGTTATCATTTTCAGGTGAGTTGATTTCAAATTAAATCCAGTTTGCTAATAGGCACTGCACTGTACCAGTCTCTGAGTGTTGTGCAAAGTAGGCACTTGGCTCCCCACTAGGAGATTCCAGACAGTCTTAGGGGATTGGGGTCCTATCATGTATGAGAAGACCCTTCTATTTTTGTTGGGCTGAATGTTACTTCATAAATCTTGAGTTTAGGCTGAATGTACTGGCACTTGCATGTAATACCAGCACTTGAGAGGCTAAGTCAAGAGGATCGCTGTGAGTTTGATGTATTGATGTCCTGTTTTTTACTAGTCTCTGTCTTGTTCTGAAGTTGAACTTGAATGGATAAATTGGGACATAGTGAATTGTGAATATATTTTTAGGATGTAGTAGAATTTTTTTTGTTTGTGTGTTTTTTATTTTTTGTTTTTTGAGACAGGGTGTCTTGCTATGTAGTTAAGGCTGGCCTGAACTCACTATGTAGTCTAGGCTGGCCTTGAACTCCTGGCGCGTCTCCTGCCTCAGTCTCCTGAGTGCTGGGATTACAGGTGTGTACCACCACACCTTGCCTGTAGTAGGAATTTTTTTCTTGTAAGTTTAGTTCATAGCCATTATTTTTAAAATGCAAGTAGCTCAAAAGGTTATGAAATGCAAAACAAATCTTCGTTTCCTCGATCTTACTAACTTACTCTTATTAGTTTCTTGTGTATCCTTCCAGAAACACTTTCTACACAGACAGGTTTGTACCAATGTATATGAGCAAATGCTATACATACATATATATCTATTTGCAGTGGCTTTCAGCACATTTTGTTGGATTGATGATTTAGTAGTGATATCTTATTAACTCATTTCCTTATGAAATCAGTCCATCTCATGGAGTGATATTTGATATGGCGTTACAACCTAATAAAAGATTGCTTATAAAGAGAAATGATAGATCAGGCTTTTTGTTAAATAGTAATGCTTATAGCTAATTGGGCATTCTTTTCCCTGGCAATTTCTTTGTGTGGCTGCTATTTTTAATCAGACTTAAATTTAAAAGGTTTAGAAACTTACTGACAGAAGTTAATACTGTGTATTGCTGGGCATGGTGGTGTATGGCTGGGTATGGTGGCACACGCCTGTAATTCCAGCACTTGGGAGGAAGAGGCAGGAGGATTGCTGTGATTTTGAGGCCAGCCTGGGCTGTATAGTGAGTTCAGGGCCAGCCTGAACTACATAGCAAGACCCCGTTTTAAAAAAAAAAAAAATCTAAAGTTAATGCTGTGTAATACTTACATGTTGATTTCCTAGATGTGTCATGGACATGTGTCAAATCAAATGTATATGACATGACAGGAAGCAGGGCAATGATGCCTGAGATCTCCCTCTGTCCTCAGTTGTGTCTTCGGTTGCCACTACTTCTTCCTGGCTAGACTTTTCTTCCAGGCACTCCTGACATGCTTTAAGACCGAAAACCAGAGGCTGAGGGTGGTAGAGTGCTTGCCGAGCATGCCTGGGGCCCTGGGATTGATCTCCAGCATTGCCAGAAAACAAAAGCAGATTGTAAGAGCTGGAGGTGGGAGGCAGTGCCAGTTTAAGAAGGGCTTTTCTGCATGAGGTTGGGATGGCTGTCTCATAGTTCTGCTCATCAGTAAATTCAGGCCAGGTGTGGTGTCGCACACCTGTAATCCCAGCACTCAGGAGGCTGAGGCAGGAGGATCGCTGTGAGTTCCAGGCCAGCCTGGGATACATAGTGAGTTCCAGGGCAGTCTCAACTACATAGTGAGACCCTGTCTC